TAACATATATTATTTCAAATTGTTAACAATATGGGCTTATACACCCATGACAAAAGTCACCATAGGGTAAAATCTGGTAATTAACAAGCAATATTAAACAGGCCTAGATGGTAATTTCCAGTGGAAGAGACAAAGCAATACCAACCTCTGGTCAAATAGAATAAATTATAGTAACAGGAAATGGCATTCACTTTGTCAGGCCATTCCAATTTACCTTAATTTAGGGAAATGCGTCATGGAATTTTAAGTGATGAGCTAACTGAGATCTTAATTATTAGAAAGATAGCCTTGCTAATAGTACAGTTCTCTGTCCTGTAGTTAATATGTTGGATTGATTGTTGGTACCATACTGTAATGACTTTAAGTAACAAGGATATGGTAGCTTTAAGACCTGACCATCAATCAGAGTGGGGTTGTCAAGGAATACCTGAATCCGTCTTTAAAAATACTACATTGCACCTTGTTAACATGTCTAGTACCACCAAGAAAATAATTTTGTTGTTGTCCTTGGCTTGTCCCCTATTTCACCATGACCTCCATCTCTCTCTCTCTCTCTCTCTCCTTGTGTGTGTGTGTGTGTGTGTGTGTGTGTGTGTGTGTGTCTGTGTAACCTTGTTTTCTAGATCCTGTGATTCTTTGTTTTTTTCTTTTTGGCTGACATGGTACTCCCAGATAAATGAATATCCTATAAGGTAGCCTATTTCCATCTCAACAGGCTTTGCTCCTTCAATAACAGCTTTAAGGATGAAGATTTGGTCTATAGAGTCAGATCAACCTCGATCAGAATCATAGCCTTGCTACTCATATTGTGTAAGCTTTTGAACCTACTGGGGCCTCAATTTCTAACCTGTAAGTAACAACGCTTACCTCACAGAATTGTTGAGAGAATTAAGGGTCCACACAATTATAAACTAGATAGTATAATGCCTGGAACAGAGAAACTCAGTGAATGTCACTGTCCTTTAGATCTTGTCCATTCCTAGATTTACCAAACATCATTCTTGGTCTAACTGAAAAATCCCTGTTAGATCTTACCTAGCTGTTAATTCAACTGCCCAAACCACCAAGCATCAGAATGAAACTTGTTAGTGATGGTAAATTCAGACTCATAGAATATATGTACAGTTCTACCAGGACAATTCTTAGTATGGATGTACTCAGCAGTTTTTTTTTTTTTTAATACCTTTCTACTTTTAAGTAAAATTAAAAGAGCATTTTGCTCAAATACAGGTCAGTGGAAAATAGGCATATTATTTTACTCATGTTCACATAGAATAGTAGTGTACTGGGTTAGCCAAAAAGTTCCTTCGATTTTTAAATAAAAATAAAAGACATTTTTCATTTTCACCAAGAATGTTTTTGATGAACATATTCACCGTTTTGTTCCACTACCTTCTGCCATTTTTCTTCATAATTCCATCTTCCCAAAACTTTTTAAATGTTTATTTATTTTTTTTTTTGCGGTACGTGGGCCTCTCACTGCTGTGGCCTCTCCCGTTGCGGAGCACAGGCTCCGGACACGCAGGCTCAGCAGCCATGGCTCACGGGCCCAGCCGCTTCGCGGCATGTGGGATCCTCCCGGACCAGGGCACGAACCCGTTTCCCCTATATCGGCAGCTGAACTCTCAACCACTGCGCCACCAGGGAAGCCCTCCCAAAACTTTTTTATCTTTTTGAGCAAAGAACTGTTCCAGGTGCATTTTACAGTCTTCCAGGGAGTTGAAATTTTTTCCCTTAAGAGAATTTTGTAAAGACTGAAATAAATGGAAATCTGAAGGGTCAATGTCCGGTGAATACGGCAGATGAATCAGAACTTCCCAGCCAAGCTGTAACAGTTTTTGCCTGGTCATCAAAGAAACATGCGGTCTTGCATTATCCTGCTGGAAGATTATGCATTTTCTGTTGACTAATTCCGGACACTTTTTGTCAAGTGCTGCTTTCAGTTGGTCTAATTGGGAGCATACTTGTTGGAATTAATCGTTTGGTTTTCTGGAAGGAGCTCATAATAAGGGCTCCCTTCCAATCCCACCATATATCACCTTCTTTGGATGAAAACCAGCGTTTGGTGTGGTTGGTGGTGGTTCATTTCACTTGCCCCACAATCTCTTCCATTCCACATTGTTGTACAGTATCCACTTTTCATCATCTTTCACAATTTGTTTTAAGAATGGAAGTTTTCTTTAGTTTCAGTAGAGAATCACATGCAGAAATACGGTCAAGAAGGTTTTTTTTCGCTAACTTATGTGGAACACAAACATCAAAGCGATTAACATAACCAAGCTGGTGCAAATGATTTTCAACGCTTGATTTGGATATTTTGAGTATGTCGGCTATCTCCTGCGTGGTATAACATTGACTGTTCTCAACTAATGTCTCAATTTGATTGCTATCATCTTCAACTGGTCTACCTGACCACGGGGCATTGTCCAGCGAGCAATCTCCACCACAGAACTTCACAAACCACTTTTGACACGTTTGATCAGTCACAGCACCACACACTGCACTAATCTTTTTTTGCATTTCAGTTGTGTTTTTACCTTTCTTGAAATAATAAAGCATAATATGCTGAAAATGTTGTTTTTTCCCTTCCATCTTCAATATTAAATGGCTACACAAAAATTCACCAATTTTGATAAGTTTTTTTTTAATGCATGGTGATTTGACAGCTGTCACAATACAATCTAACAAAATAGCTTCGAATGAAGTGAAAGACAACTAAGGGCTACTAGAGCCATCTTACGGAAGAAAATGAACAAACTTTTTTGGCCAACGCAAGTTTCCATAGGGCTACAAGGCAAAAGGGGCAATACTCTGGAAAACTGATAGGCTGTTAGGAGGCTTCAGAATACGCATTCAAATAGTGAAGAAGCCAACATACAAAATCTGCCCCTCCAAATTAAAACTTAGATCTTTTCAGTCCTCCAGAGATCACCAACTTACAAATGACTAAACTCAGGAGAGAAAGAAAATATTAACATAATTTATTGCATAAATATTACCATAATTTATGGCAATTCATTATTACTTTCTAGTGAAGAATACAACTGACAAAAGAGCTAGACCTGCAAGTCCTTGAAGCTGGGAACTTCTTTCTGATATATGAGAACTTATTATGATCTGAAAGCTATTGTTGAACTTGGGGCAGTACAAGAATTAACTATTCTGTAAGATTCCAGTGTTAAATGGCAACAGGTTAAGAAAGCCTCTTGCACCCATCTTCATCACAGGGAAATATCAGCTTCCAGGATCTGACTGGCCAAATTTATTGGCTTGGACTCCCTCTTCCCATAATACCACTTAGATTAGCATTAAACATATTTGCATCTCCAACTTTCCCTTGTCTATGAATTCATGTGAACCAACTCCTCCTTTCTGAATGCCATGAACTTTCTTCAGATATGTTAACATCTCTGATTAGTTTACAGCCTATGCTATCTACCTGGAAGCCATCCAGCTTTTCAAGATACATTTGCTCAATACTATTATTATCCATTACATATTGACTTAGAGTTTAATTCTCAAGGGCTTATTTTCATGTTCTTAGGGGAGAACCTCAGGAACCCTCATTTATAGACTACAGTTTGATGATGTCTCTACATTAACAATATGGGGATTTATTACTATTAACTAGAAACTTTGTTCATTGTATTTCAGAAGGCATCCTTAGTAAGACATAGGAACAGCAGAAATTTGCTTTACATTTTATTACCTCTGCACAACAACCTCAATCTCCAAACATGAGAAGATATTTGACCTCTACTATTAGTCATTGGTCTTTAAAAGATTTTTGTTTTCTTTTATGACATTCTTCACTCCATGAATGCCAATTTGTGCAAATGAAGGTATAAGACTTAGAACAAAAAGGTTCCAACAAGATGAGTCACACTCTAAGTTAACAGGTCATATCAAAACATGGGGAAAGGCTATCTGTGAATAATTACCATGAGACAAAGAAGTTTGTGGGGAAAAAAAGTCAAAGTCAACTCAATATTAAATTGTTGACTTAAACTGGACATTAAATTTCTCATATAAAGGTCCTTCTGACAGATTGGAAGAAATGTTGGAAAATACATTTGTTTCAGTAGAAATGTTTGTGCAGGTCTAGAATTGCAGATTAGTAACAGGATAGCTTACAAATTTAGACAGAAGAAAGACTAATGTTCTTTTAGAAAGTAAGCTTCCCAAATGTAGGGGCCATGATAAATAATTTGGTGGAGGGGGTGCATAAAATGAGAAAAACATGCTTAAGCTTTGTTTCGTAGGTACAGGCTATTCAGTTCCTGGGCCAGTGTTGTGCATAGAGACAAGTGCTAATCTACGCTTTTAAAATTAATTTAGATTTAAAAGAAATTATCCTATACTTTCCTAGAATGTGCCCCTCTTTGTGTTATTTAATATATGTTACCTATTTAAATGATGGAGAACAAATGTATTTCCAAGGTGGTGAGGAATAAAGAGGAGGTGTAAAGCTGTCTTACACATAGTACTGTGTCTGATTTAGTACCATAAATTTTAGTTTCTCTGGAGAAGGTTGAATCCAAGTGACTGTACAAGAAACAGGACACAACACACAATTGCTGACCTCTAGGATCTTGCCTTTTATGCAGTATTCAAAAGAATATGCATTAAATATAGTTCCTTTTACTTTTCACAAAAGGCATAGTTGGGCCTACACCAAAATGAAACGATTGCTTCAGTATCATATTAATATTGTTAGTAGTCTAAAAGATCACATTGTATCTGTAAAAAAGAAAATCAGTATTAAAGTTATCCTCTTCACTACTCAGTAAAGACTGCAATAATTTTTCTTTTAGAATCCCAAATCTAGAGAAAGACTAAAGTCTATAATGAGTAGCAAACAAAACTGATTTATTATGTATGGATAGTGTTAGGTGTGGGCGTGTGATGGGAATTCTACGGTCTTAAAAGGAAATTAAATTCAGAGTGTTTTTGAGAAATTGATTTCTTGTTATGAGGAGAAATGCTTTATCAATACTCACCTGCAACCATCCATTCTCATGTCCAAGGGGCCATCCTTCCGAAGGGAAAAACCTCTTTCAGGGGCATCAAGTTGCATGGAGGAACACCCAATATCCAAAAGAACTCCATCTAAACTCCCTGGTTGAACTCCAGCTTTCATTAGTAAGGCTTCTGCCTGGCTGAATTGGCCCAGGATGGCTCGGATCTGTTTACTGGGGATAAACCCAGGAGATGGAAAAAACACTTATGTCATATTAAAGTCTTTCTTAAGGTCTAGGATCAATGAAAGGGAGCACATTCTATTATTAGCTTATTTAACCAATATATGTTTACTAAGTGCCAACCATATGCTTTGTACTATATAAGGACATACAGATATGGAAACTCTATATCTTTGATTTCAAAACCAGAGGTGGTTTGACATAATTTTATTCTTGCTAATAAACACAATTTATTTTATACTTTGTGAAGGTATATAAGTTTATGAATTAGAAAAATTTCCTGGTCAGATCCGTCCTTTTATTTTTTTTTCCTAAAAAAAATATTCATATATCTCTGGGCTGGGAAAAGAAACATATGCCATTCTATCAAAAGAATAAACACCTGTTCACTGTTGGTGGGAGTGTAAACTGGTATAGCCACTATGGAAAACAGTATAGAGGTTTTTCAAAACATTTAAAATAGAACTACCATATCATCTAGCAATTCCACTTCTGGGAATATATCCACAAGAAATAAAAACACTATGTTGAAGCGATATCAGCACACTCATGTTCATAACAGCATTATTTACAACAAGTCAAGACATGAAAACCACCTAAGTGTCTGTCAATGGATGAATGGATAAAGAACTTAAGATGTGTGTATATATATTATTCAGCCATAAAAAAGAAGAAAATCTTGCCATTTGTGACAACATGGATGGACCTTGAGAGCATTATGCTAAGTCAGACAGAGAAAGACAAATACTGTATGATCTCATTTATATGTGAAATCTTGAGATTGAAAGAGAGAGAGAGAGAGAGAGAGAGAGAGAGAGAGAGAGAGAGGGAGGGAGGGAGGGAGGGAGAGAGAGGGAGAGAGAGAGAGAGAAAACCATGCTCATAAAAAAAGAGATGAGATTTGTGGTTACCAGAAGTGGGGGATGAGGTAAGGGGAATTGAATGAAGGTGGTCAAAAGGTACAAACTTCCAGATAAATAAGACAAATAAGTACTAAATTGAATGAAGGTGGTCAAAAGGTACAAACTTCCAGATAAATAAGACAAATAAGTACTAGGGGTGTAATGTACAACACGATGACTATAGTTAACACTACTGTGTGGTATTTATGAAAGTTGTTAAGAGAATAAATCCTAAGAGATCTCATCACAAGGAAAAAAAATCCCTTTCTCTTTTGTGTTTATATGAGATGATGGCTGTTAACTAAACATTGTTGTAATCATTTCATAATATATGTAAGTCAAATCATTATGCTGGACACAAACTTGTACAGTGTTATACGTCAATTATTATCTCAATAAAACTGGAAAAAAATTTAACTTTTAACTAGTAAACCAATTTAAATATCTTTTTTCTTTCTGTTTTATTACCTACTATATGTCAAACATCTTCAAGCCAACCATTTTACCTTTCTCCATATTCTTCACATAATTCAGGATAGGGGTGCTGTGCAGCTGCACACTTGAAGAATGAAACTATGCCTAAAATAAACGCCTTCTTACAGAAGCAATGTTTTAGCTCTCAGCGGGGATTCGGAAGTGAATGGAGCATTAAGAATTAACAGACAGGCAAGGAGTTGGGATCACCTTACAGCTATATTAATTCTCCTTCCTACACAAAGTGAGATGCTGCCTTCAGGGTTCTTCAGAAGCCCTAGGGCAACTGGCATGCATTTTGGAAGGGGAATGAGAAGAGAAAAATTGGGCAACACTCTAAGACCTCATTCCCTCCATCTACAGGTGTATGGAGTGAGGGTGGATTTCAACAGTGTTGGGGAATTCATATCTATGATATTTACTTATATGTTATGCTGTTTAAGGAGAATTTCACAGCTCATTGGTAATTTTTTCTCAAATTCCAATGGTGAAAGTGATTTTCAGGTTCACTCACCAAATATTCACTAAATATCTGCTATGTGTCAGGCATTATGCTATTCTGAGGTATAAACAGATTAATAAATCATGGCTTTCTGAGCTTTGAGCTGAGAGAAAGGTATATAAATAAACAGTTTGCAAAACAATCTCATGGGTGCTAATAGTAGAGAGACAGACAAATTGCTATGTCTGTATTTGGAAAATATAAAATGAATATTAATATTAGCATTGAAAACAGAAATAGTAGAATCTTGGGATTGGAAGGCAACTCACAAATTATTTGTTCCAATTATTTAATTGATGTTTGAATCTTTTCCCTTTTCACCATCACTGATGGGGGGCAGGGTGGGGAGGGGACTCGTTGTTTTAATCATATCTCATTCACCCCATTGGTGAGGAAGGGATTCCAATTCTAAAATTATGGAAATGGTCAAGTGAACACACAGCACCCGACACTGGACAGATGAGATTGACAGGAGTTTATTAATCACATCCACTCACAGCCCAGGGGAGGACACCAAATGCCATTCATGGCTACATGGGTGCTGCACTCAGGAACAGAGTGGACCGACAGGCTGTGAGAAGCAGATTTTATGGTATCAGTAGGATAGGGTGCCGCATGCCCAAGAAAGGATGTGTTGGCTTGTTTTGAATAATTCCACAGGCTGGCAGGGAACTCAAACCTGCTACTCAGGGATAAGCAGGTATTATGCCTGATCCCTTTGATAAGGAGTGTTGTTTGGCTAGGAACCTTCTCTGTGGAAGCACAGTGGGGAAGAAAAGTTGTAGTTAGGCCATTTAAGATTCTTCCAGCTTTCCCTAAATGTCAAGAACACATAATACTGGGCTTAAATTTTAGGCCTTACCTCACAGTCATTTAGCCCATGTTTGAACATTCCCAGTAAATAAAAACTCACTATTGGTTTTTGTTTTTTTTAATTTTTTTTAGTCAGTTGTTTTTTAGTGAAGCTGCTGGCTGTTTCCTCACTATTTCTATAACTTTTGTCCCAGGTATCAGTCCATGGAAAACAATTAAAAACTCATGGCAGCCTGTTACATATCTATTGTTAGTTATTGTAAATGATACTTGTTGGCTACCTCTTAGTTGCCAGTCTCTTTCTTCCAACAGGACGTCAAAATTTCAGCTTTGTATCTTGGGAGAGAATGATCATATCCATGATTGTTTATGTCAACTTGGCTTGGCAAAAGTACTCAGTTATTTAATCAAACAATGATCTAGGTATTGCTGTGAAGGTTTTTTTAGATGTGGTTACCATTACAGTCAGTTCCCTGTAAGTAAAGGATATTACCTTCCATAATGTGGGTGTGTGTCATCCGATCAGATGAAAGGCCTTAAGAGCAAAAAATGAGGTTCCCCAGAGGAAAAGGAAATTCAATCTCAAGACTATAGTATTATCTCCCATCATAGTTTCCAGTCTGCTGGCCTGCCCTACCATTTCAGACTTGCCATTCCCCACAATGTGAGCCAATTCCTTGAGATAAATCTCTCTCTCTCTCTCTCTCTCTCTCTATATATATATATATATATATATATATATAT